AACGTACAAATAAATGGACTGATTATTAATTGAATGCAGTTGAGTAACTTGCTCCAACCGTGCTTATCGGCCGTATAGTCTGGATTTGGTATTATGATAACGCTGAGGAGATATAAAGGGGCGAGTATTAACAGAATGCCACGCCCGCACCAGCCTTTCAGGCGCCATTGCTCTCTATCGACGGGCCACAGTGCCTCACGGAATTCACTGAATATGAACATGTTCTTGGGATTGTCCGGATTATGGAGTATGTCGCGTGTGCTAGCCTTATCAATGCCTCTTTCTTGCGGAATCACCCTGGAGACACGTCCGAATCCAAGTGTAGAACGCCGAATGGTGGACCTGCGCAAAGAGCTCTTGCGAATCATATTATCGTAGTAATAGGTATGCCGGTAGTTGTGCAGCCCCATCATTGTGTCTATCTCTAGGGCAGACAATTTTAGCTCAAGGTCACTCAGTTCCTCATGATCACTGATTGTCAAATCCCTGGTTTTCATTTCGGCAATCTTTTCTTTCACTTCTGTGGAAGAATTTCAGAAATTAACATCAATCATCCGATCTGCAGTTCTTTTCGGTGACTTACTCTGCATGTAAAGACGCGCCAGTTTTAGATCGATTACATTAATGATCACATATATGAAAAACATTGATACAAGAACTGCAAGGTTAATTATTAAATAAGACATCAAAGAATATGCAAACATATAGATTACTGCAAGCTTCCGTTAATGACGCGAATTCATCTGAAACTATACAGTAAATCAGTAACTCGCTGCACAAGATTAGAAAGAGAATATCGCGTATCGCGCACGCCTTGTTAATCTGAAATGATCTAAGATAGCAAATGGTACCGCCGGACAACAAAAGGATGGATAGGCCGCTGCTCATGTTTGTAGAATAGACCGGTGACAGGCTGCGCATGGGCATGAGATTTGTCAACATCTCGGGCGCTGCGTTGCAGAAGGCAACCAAGACGATGCCAGCTAAATATTCGTTAAAATTCAACTTGATGGTAATGATCTTGACTATATGAGTGAAGCTTAGAGAGAAAAGAGCCATTCATTATAGGAGTAAAATCGATAAGTACTTTTGAGTTAGCGCACTCACTACTTCTCCAGTATAAGGATCCACAGTATGAGGAAGAATACTATTGTAGCGTAAATGACAATTACAAGCATCTCCGAGCTTCTGTCATCGACATTCATTGCGCAGTACATGATCCTGTAGTATCTTATGAGATTCATGGCCTGTTTGCAGTCCGCTGCGGCAGTTACATATTTGCAACGATCCACATGCTTCACAGTCATCGCGCTGAAACAGCTTACCTGAATAGTAGGTATGATTGAATTAAGTGCGTTTATGATAGTCTGAGCCTCCATAATTATCTACTCACCTTGCTGTAGACTTCTGCTAAAGAAAAAGTTCGGTTCATTGTGCTATTTTCCCTCTTTTTGTAATTTTTTCTGTATTAATAAATGTCTCTCCAATAAGCAACTGATTTGAAATACTAACCTCATTCGACTGAAGTAGTTTTCAGGAAAAAGCAAGGCCTGGTTTGGGAACATAAATTAAATTGACGTAGAAGGGACATACATTCGGAGTAGGCTAGGGTGGGATTTGTTTACTGACGGCCTCTAAACATCTCGAGTTGTGGTAATCTAAGTTAAACAAGGAAAAATGATCAATATTG